CACACTATCTCCACCACGAATTTTGGGGTGCCCATAGCAATCGGCAAATAACCCCTACAGGCTGCTTCTTCTTGTTTACTTGCTTAAGTAGTTTGCCAAACACTTTGATTTTATTAGATATAAATAAGGTAAAGATATTTGAAAAAAAGTTATTTTTTTAAATAAAATTACGATTAACCACGACATTTGACCAAAGAAGAGCCTGGGCGATCATCCAAGAAAGACACCAGTAAGAAACGATAGCATCTTTCCGTATTCGTGATAGCGTTGTAATTCTGCTTCATTATCTTGACACAGTACAGCGCGGACGGGTAGAGCATGACTTTGTCTTGGTTGTTGCCCTTGCCGAGAATTACCTCTGCGCGTCAGCATTTATTGGTTAATGAATTACAACTGTAACTCGAGCTTTATCATGCCCTGGCTTGTGGGTACACAGCAACTTACCACGCCACAAACATCTTTCAGTGACTGCACACTCGTAGCTACTACCATCCATTTTTTACCACCATTGATGTCCGTCCGCCGACTCCAGCGTCGTCAAATTTTCGCCGCGTTGTTTAATCTGGACATAGTATACGACATTGAATGGTTTAAACTGCGTCATCTTGGGCATCCAATTCCTGTCAAACATTTGACACTTGTCTTGTCATGAGCCCATTCAGATTTTTCATGATTACTTTATCAATTTCATATACAATAATGTACATCAGTATATTGCAAGAAAACGTACTGTCGCGTCGGTCTTCTACTCCCTAAAAGCTTTTTAGCCCGTTACGTCTGTTTTCCGACTGCATTAAACGTTCATGGCTGGATGAAAAATACGTATTTGATACGTGTACGTACTTGTTGCGGCAGAGACGACGTTCTCATAGTTTGAATCGTTGATGACCTCGGTCGTCTTGTCCATCTCTCATAGATTTCCCCCATCTTAATTATATCGACAAATCGCAGATAAGGTTATAGTCACAATTGAGAGATATAAATATATGTTTTTGGGAAAGCGTTATCCATCCACCACCCAACGTCAACCGTCCATCCCCCCAGAAATTTAATTTCGATTGACGTCAATCAACCATTCTGATTGGTCAGAGAGAATGAACGCAAATGTAAGAATTTCAAGACTCACAAGAGACTCACATTCAAATTGCAACCTTCCCTGTTACAACGACTCTATCAAAATGAACACCCTCACTCCCCCTCCTTCACAATGGGACATGCCTCTCTTGCAGAGGCTCAAGCTGCTGTAAAGGACCATGCAATATCACAGGGATATGTAAGTGCTGCCAAATGTGTGCAAAAATGGTCTAGAGCTTACTCAAAACTGTGCGCCTGTGAGGCTTGATTCGTGGAGTAATTACTTTGCATCCCCCTCGACACTGCCGACTGTTGAGCTTGAGTCTCGTGATGCAAATTGTAGAAGCGTTTTCTCGCGCTTGAATACAGGACATCGTTTTTGGCTTGGTCCATCTCGACCTGAAAAAGTTTATGAATCTCCTGATCAATTGCAGCTATGTAAGCATTCTATTGCACAGCACAAGACCCGGTCAGGAACCGAAAAGGAGGAGAAAAAGAGTCTGCAACTCATCTTACGACCTCAAATGTCGTTAACACAAAACAGTAGATACCCGCGTCTTCGCCTTTTGACGCACCTGCACCGCAGTATTTGTCGCAAGCTGCAAAATCCTCGTGTCATCCTGCTCTGAATGCGTACTCTTCAGCTGTCGGTAACTAGCAAGACACTTAAAGCACAACAAATGAGCCATAAGCAGCTCACACTCTCGGCAGACACTCTTGCGAAACAGCAACGACCAACGCACATTCGATGCAGATACGTTCGCCTCAGAAGTATGTCCTGGGCAACCGATTGCTGCTGCTCCTCCTCTTGTAACATCTTCCTCTTGTCCTGCTCCTCATCTTGAAACATCGTTCTATTTCCTTATTCTCCCCTTGACCTTCTGCTTCGTCCTCAGCTTCTGCCTCCACCTCTCCTGCCTTATCTCTTCTTCCTTCTTCTCTCCTTCTCCTCCTTCTTCACCTGCGGATACCGACACGAAAGGATGCCACTGCGCTTCATCTCTGCCTCCGTCTTTGTCTCTGTCGCTTGCCGTCTCATCGTTCCCGTACGCTGAAGGTTGCAATTTGAAGATGAGTGTCTTATGGGTGTTGAAATTCTTACAGTTGCCTTCATTTTCTTTGACCAATCACAATGGTAGATTATAGTCAAATAAAATTATGTTTGGGGGGGTATGGTTAACGTTTGGGTGGTGGATGGATTACGCTTCCCATTTTTTCGAAAAGGGCATAATCACCCCTCTCCAGAAGCGACAACTTTGATTCCAATTCACTGTAGAATGTGTGCGGTGGTACATATAACAGAAATGTGTGGTACGTATAACGGCTACCTAAATATGTATATTCGTTCGTTGGCATTATTTAAGATATACGGTCATCCCCGGTGATAAAACACGTAATGTTGTGCTGTTAGATATTTCATATTGACGTCATAACTGATTTCTTATGAGTGCGTAGTAACGCATAAGCCACGATTAAAATTAATTCGAAAGAAATTCACGCGAAGCAATCCCTACCTGGATATACAGATCGATTTTTTTTGCAATACTAGTAGGTCGTCAGGATAATGTACGGACGGCTTTGGCCCTTTGACGACTCGGAGTTACAAAATTTGTTTATCAACTATTGCAGATTACTCCCCACGTTATGTTATCTTCGCCATCAAAAACATCCGCCAATCGTTCTCACTGCCTCAGTCACAGTTTTGAGATTCGGGTGGGAACCTCAACAATATATCTCATCACTACATCGGTTATGTCAACCATTGCCATTTGACATGGCATATTACAATCACAGTTTCATGCAGGCAACCTACAAAGCAGAAGCTCTTGTTTGAACAAATATCAGTGTATATGGCGTTACTATCTCGTTATGAAGCAACTATGTTACGCAGAAGACATGAACAACCCTGCACCGACTGTCAATGTCGGTCTTCATGAGGTAGCTATCCTTTCGCGCTACAGATTGTTCATGTATACTATAATCAGCTTCTCCGTCAACGACAATGCATCTAAAGTTTCCTTTCCGCGGTAAAAATCCGACACTAGTTTTACATCTCGTACAGATCACACATTATTGGTACTGGCCGTATTCAGTATCTTGCCGATCATAACAAGAGCAGCATTTGCCGAGCATAGCCAATTGCCAGATGGTGAGGACTTTTGTAAAATGGTAGAATCAGCTCGGATGTCATACTTCCAACGTTTGTATCTAAATACGATAAAAGCCGACCCACGAGACTTTTCACAACGAACTTTTGTATAATGCGCTGCAACATCCGCATATTGAAAGAAGTCATCGCATGCGGTGCTAAGAATTTAGTATCGAGATTCTCATGGATGGAATCACGCGAATTGAAGACTGCAAAATTGCTGCGGTAGAACTGTTGCAGCGACCAGCTTTTCACACGACATTGGATGTATCACGGCATGCCTCGAGCGCCCAAAGCAGCCCTAAATTCTTCCGCACATCGATAATCACAACATGAACGTACTTCTCTTTCATCCATTAACGACAGCTAAATTCAAAATGCAATGGCAGCTTCTAATAACGCGACCTAGCTAAATATATGCGGCCCACAGATTGGATCGAGCTCTCGGTAGCTGACTCTCACTAACTAATGCACACGCATCACATACAAGCCCAACATCTCTGGGAGAAGGCCGACCGCAAAGATAGGCCCTGTCTCCTAGCAGCATCTTGTAAAAGGGTGTGTACAAGTTCAAGTGAGAACGCACGTTCTGACCAAAATTGGCTTGAAACACCTGTTTGCTGAAGACTGTTGCAAGGTAAGAATGTGCATGCAAGCTAGAAGGCAGCCAGTCGTAGCCGCGATATCGAAGATCGATAAGTGGAATGTGTTGAAACCATATCTCCGCTACGTTTAGTTTCACCACATTCCACTTATTGATCCAAGTACTGCACCATGTATGTATGTAAACCTGATAAAAATAACTGCTTTGTCAAGTCCTCATACGTTTGGTGCAGTAATTTTCACACGAGGGTTTACGTAGTGAGACTCCACCAACACTTACTATCTACGTCAACTAACATATATTACATGACGACAACCAACATTGATTTTACACTAAACCGTCATTTCTGACGCAACTGCAAGGACACCTGTAGCTGCAGGCGACCTAGTAGTTTTCCGCCTAATGTCAACGGAACACAAACATCGCGTTTCCTGGTCATATCTTCAGCGCAGAATGTGCCGTGTCCAAAAATTTGCTCCGACGAGAAAGATGATGACGGTGTCACGCCACTCTGGAGAGCTGACAAGTGCGACGAGACGAGCGGGCTGGAGCTGCTACGGGGTAGCTGTAAACAGACATGTCCTCCCAAACACCGAGATGCCGGTGCGGTCCTAGGTACTGATCTTCTTCGTCCGCGAAGAACCACAGCTACGTGTTTGTGTCCTACAGTCCCTGCCATGGTATGATATCGCAACCCACCGCTGACAAACTCGTGCCACTTCAAAGTATGAAAGTTGGAGTTAGGCGTGGCTATGGACGTGAAACCCGTACCACCTACGTCAACGGTGTCGGCTCCGCTGAACGTCAATTGCTCAGCCACTTCATGCAACTTCCGCTGGGGTGCGAAAACATCTTCGCACGGCAACGGAAAGAGAAAGCCAAAATGCACATCTTCAGCATCATCAAACAATGCTGAGTCGAGCGTATCAATCCAGTAAATCGAGCAAAACTCGATTCGGAGTCGGAGTTTGCATGCGCCACGGGTGTCTTCCATTCGGGCAGCAGCTATTGCACTTGCTAGGGGATTTGGATGGAAAACAACAGGCTTGGTATCAGCTGAGTTTGCGTACCAAGCCGAATTGTCTGCCATCCGTATAGCTGGAAGCGGTTTATGTGTCGATGCGAGCAAAGTCACCTCAAAGCAAGCAGACACTGGCTTGTGATCCGACGAGGTTACTAACTCGCAAGAATCGTAAGACAGGCAGCGAAGTGCGTCCTGTGTACCTGCAAGGGAATGGTAAAATACGCGATCTGTGTATGACGGCACCCGATATCCGCCGTGAGCGGCGACGAGTGAGAAGTTCTGCTGAAACATGAACGTATCCAGTGGCTTGCGCAGAGCTTGCCCTCGTATCCGCCGGAAAGTCGGAAAGAACGTGATTTCCTTTTCGTGAAAGCCGTGGAAAATCTGCTGTGTGCGGCATAAGTGGGTAAGCTCATCGTGCTCTTCAACGAGTACTTGCAATTGATATGGCACCGAAAGAATGCCAACATTTCTTGATCCTTCACAAGCCCGCTCTCTGAGGTCATCACTAGTCAATGCAATCCGGGCAAGGCTGTGCACTTTGGGTGTCATACAGTGCCGAAAGCTATCTTCGTCATTGTCAATCGACATCAGACATGTCGGTGCATTGGAAGTTGAGGAGCAACACGGTGGCGGCAAAGCTAGAGTGCAAAAGTCTTCGCATCTGTGGCGTTCAGTCCCAGTCTTCACAAGTAGATCCAGCATATCCATCGGCGTCGCCTGTTTGCGTGTCATCCGATAGTTAAAATCGCCAAGAATAAAGCTGTGGTGGTGTAGATGCGGGAAGCCGAATCCATAATCTTCATCATCTAGGTATAATTGCTGAAGAATTTCCATCGCGTCTTGGTTACGACGCTCCACTTTAGACGGCGGTTGGTGCGCGCTGGCTGGAGTCCCACCAGAAATCGAAGCCTCGCTACTACAGTCGCCACCGCTACTGCGTCCCATGCTTCCATTGTTATGCAGCAAATTTGCCTCCAGTAAACTGCCACTCCCTTTACAGCCTGCACTGGAGCTTTTCTTTCGTTTGGCCCGTTTTAAGCTTGACGAATCGGACGCTAAGTGGCACGTCACAAAGGCAAACGATGTACCATCGAATCGGAATGACATACCGACGGCCCCTTTGTTCGATGCTCGACCGAAGAGCAAAAGCGACTTGCCGCGGAAAACCTCCTGGGCATTTTTGTTGCTTCTCTGTCTGTGAGGCATACGAAACCGGCCCGATGCCACAGCTGACGCGCGCACAAATATGCACAGAGCAATGTACCCGTGGTAGCCCAATGCTGTGGCTCGTTTCCCGATCTCACGCGAGTAGTTCGCGTATTTGCTACGTGATCCAGAGACGAGGTGGCGCAATATCTTGCCTTGTAAGTCCGCAAGGTCCATGCACTCTTGCACACCAATCACGTACACATCTTTTCGAAGCGGTATCCACTTGCGCTATGACATCACCACGAGCAAAAGTCATGTTAGACTGTTTCGTACGTAGAAATGAGCCATAAAATAGCTTACTATTACCAATTCGCTTTCGTTGACATCTTTCTCACCCATATTGAATGTCGATGCAAAAATCGCAATTTTTTTTGATTCCAGCGGTTCATCGCAATCCTTTCTTAGCGCTCCAAGAGAAGGTGCTTGATGCAGCGAAAAATGATTGAGTAGACGCTGATGCCAATCCCGATAATTATGGCTGTAGTCGTGCTGGGGTTTCACCCGGTTCTTGCAAGCGTGAGTACTCCTGTCTGCACCTGAAACTTCACTGTCCGACTCACAAGAGACTCGAAATCCTGATTGGGTCAGTGCAGTTCCAATGCTCGCGGATGGGCAAAACATAGTTTCCTGATCATCCTCTAAGATCACCGTTGGCATCTTCATACGGATCCCGACCATGGCGCTGTCCGTCGGCGAAGGTAAGCTTATGGCGTCTTCATCGCGCGGTCTTGAGTTCTCCTTCACATGTCTATGGCACATGCCTCCGTATATGATTGCGTTGGAGAAGCCGTTGAGATCTTGTATCACTTGCACGGTGAGTCCTATGTTGAGGTTGTCTAGCCCTCCAGCTACAAACACTTTGAAACAGAGCGCACATGTCACTTTCGTATCCCAACAACAACAACGACTACTTAATAAGAGCCAGTCAACTTACTCCGATAGACCATCATTGGCGTGCGATGAGCAATGAAGACGACGATGTGGAGCAATAGTTTGCGGCGAATCAGCATCGATGACGTGTCGGCCTCTACGGTATCATGTCTACAAGCCCAAATGATAGCGCCAACCGCATTAGCGTTTGGACTAAAGTAACATGCGACAACCCGCAGGGCTCGTCTGTACCTTGCTACTCGCTGTTTGATGTTCAGGTGAATCAGCGCAAGCAGCACAAAGTTGAACACGACCATGAGTAGATAGAAGACGTAGAAGTTGACAAACATATACCGGATCTCATTCAGCCAGCAGTAGAACGTCGTGTCGCCGTACTTGTTCGCTAAACACACAACCACGCCAGCAACAACGCGCCGTTAGCAGTCCAAAGCGCTCGTTCCTCCTACATCTCGTAGCTCTACATTCCCATAAGATGTTAACGACGTACTTGTGACATGGAACACAGCTAAAGCTGCACCAGGCATCACCGCGAGTGCCAAGAAGACTGGAAACCTTCGCTGCCGCGTTGCGTCGGACTCGCCGCCCACGATCCAGCGGTACAGGTTGTACGCCATGCAGCAAACCCAGGTACAGCTCGCTAAGGCAGCAGCCTGGATAAGCGCCGCTTGGGCGTTGCAGAGCGCCAAGTTGTGCACGACGCTACGTCCGACTGCGCGCGCTGCCACAGCGACCAGATCAAACACCGCGAGCACGAGCACGAGTTTGTCCATAAAGTCCATACGACAGCGGCGGGCAACTCGGTGCCGATGCCGCGAGCGAGTCGTACATCGCAAGTAGACGTAACTACAGCGCGCGAGCACGTAGAGCGGACCCACGAGCGACAGCGTACTGGACAAGTAGCCAACGAGCTGGAGCTGCGTCACTTGAGCGTCCGAGAGCGAGTCAGCCGGATGCGCGTCGTGGCGGTCGCGCATTCCGACAACGGGCGGCGCGCGGGGAATAGTGTGATGACCAGCAGCTTGCACTGATGTTGATGGCGCTGTTTGGTGCGTCCGATGGATAGGCCGAGCGGACGGACATGGAGTGGGTGACCTGTGCGTCTCGATCAGTGCGTCCGGAGAGTGGGACGTCGTCCTGCAAGTCACGACGGAGCGACGGACTGAACGCTTGAGCGAAGACAGACTGCCAGCGCTTCTGTCTTGTGTTTGTCTTTCACTGAGCACAGAGCTTTGTCCTTGTGCAAATGCGGAACGTGGCAAAAGGTGCCGAGGAGAGATGGGACACAAACGAGCTCTTGTAGAGCGGTGATCGGGTCTGCTGCTTCCAGCGCGATGGATTTTGCGGGGAATATGGTGCGAGGCGGAGGTTGAGGTCAAAGAGCCTGTTAGGAGAGGCTTGGAATTGGTTTGCGACAAATGTAACTGGCGCTGCGGGTGTGGTCGTCACTTGATGCCATGGAGCTCGACTGCTATCGCACTGTGGCCGGATGTGACACTGCCACTTTGTCAGTGGTTGTTGCTGAGCCGATGGAAATTTTGTCCACATGAGCAAATGCCTTTGGGGCTGCACGATCAGTCCAGAAGTGCACGTTGAACCAATGCAACGATTCTTGATTCATCGAATTCGATTAGTCTTCCAACACCTTCACGCATGCCATCTTCTGCCCACGTGCTTGTTTCCTGCAACGACAACGTTTAAACAGACACAAGCTCACGTTCGAACCAGAAGCAAAATGTACCCGCGGTCTATAGCGCATCTGCTGAGCGTACCCAGCCACAATGGCGGCGTGTTTTGGCGGTCGGTTTCGCCTATGGGGTCTATAGACATGAATGACACCGCATCAGTTCGAAAGCCGTCGTCGTTGGCTATTTGTACGCAGTGATGGAACACTGCAGCGTCTGAACAATCAGATGCATTCTAAAGAGCGTAGAGCAGCATAGAGCAGCAACATGGAGAAGGGTCGGAATGTCCTGCTACAATGGACGTACCCACAAAGTCAGACTCGTGTCATTTCTACCGCGTCATTGTCGATGTAACGGGTTGAGCCTGCTGTATAATATTATCGTTTACAATAATCGCAATGGTACAAAATATCAATTCTAATATTTTCACTACAATATCACCAAGAGCAGTGATACTGTCTTGTTGCAGTGACCCAAGGGTCAACTCATTGGTTGGTATAGCCATAATATCTACCCACCAATCGCCGCTAGGCGCGCGCAATGAAAGGGGAGTAGACGGCACCACACTTTCTTTAATATTAATATAGTGAAGTTAGGACTAATAGGACAAGACTCATTTTAGGACTTTATTATATCATTAAAGGTTTTCTTTTCTCTTACTAAGCCTAGTCGTTTAGTAACGAGCCTTCCCATAAAGCGTACTACTTACACCATCTAACAGAGTACTAGTTCTCACAGTAGTCAGTGAGAGCTTGCCCTGCAATATTTACAATGCGCAGCTACCTGTGCCCCGTTAGGATTTATTCATCTATCTATTGACCGTCTCTCTGTGTCTTAGATTATCTTATCAAACTAAAATCTCCCGCCACCCATTGCGCACGTTATAATTTTCATTTCGGTTGATATAACGGCCTATGTTTAACCAGCAAGTGATGCGGCGAAAGGATATCACCCTCGAAGGTAATATTCCATCAATATTTCCTTAGCCATAAATATGCACATTGATATTAGTTAATTATCAATGACATGTGACGTCTTCACCCTGTTACAGCCGAGCTTGTGAGTAAGCACCAACGCGCATGCAAGAGTACGATCGCCTCGTGTAGAATGTATGCGGAGCGACACATCTTTCGATCTGCACACCCCTTCGGTGTCGTGCAAGTACATCGCCGCTGCCGCTGCAATAAAGTTGTGAAAACCTTGCATGGCACATGGGGACAGTGTGGAAGCCAGCCTTTTGAGCCATTACGCACAAGCCAGACCAAGCGACCACTCAGATTGGCCATATTGGTGCATTGTCGACCTCGACTTGGTTAGGAATTTGGCGGGCTCAATGACAGCATCCATCTCATCACTTGCAACAACTACAACCGAATCACTCGAGATGCGAGACGATGACCAGGGCAAGAATCGTGGAACCTCTCGACAGCTGTTGTAGCATGCCTGTCTTCGATGATGTAACGGAAGACGCTCTTGCCAGATGACTGATACGACCTTGTCTTAATGGAACACAAGGCTGCGTACTCCCGACGTCACGTACGCGTGGCGTGAGGAAGCGCAGCGAAGTATGCAGAACTCGAAAGCTCTGTCTAAGGGAAAAAGTAGAACTGTATTTAATATAGTTATGTTTCTTTACTAAACCATCTTTGTCTTAATCAACTATCTTAGTCTACAATCTCCTATGTGGGTTTCTTGCTCATCACCCATTGCGCGCGTCCAGCATCGATTGGTGGTTCATTTGGTTGATGTAGACGCTACATCAACCAAAAGTGGAGCACCCAAGAATATTACCCTCAGAAGTAATATTCCGCCAACATCACCTCTTCTCGGGTAATGAAAATTAAATATATTTGAATAGATAATATTCACAAAATCCATACATTCGTGTCAATTTTTACGTAACGGGCTCACCTCGTTGCAAATGACCCATTGTGAGCGACGCCAATGCTTACCGCATCCTATCGCTCACGGACTACATTAGGAGTTTGGTCTGGTACCTCGAGTGGGCCGAAAAACGGTATTGACATGACTCTAGACGGCCTAGATTCGGGCAGAAATGCTCTACTGTGCGTCAGGTGCTCGGCTGTTGAATGAGATGCAGGTGGTATAACAAGAAAGCTCTGAATAGAAATTATGTATTTTATTCGTTATATCTTTTCTGCGCTATCGTAGGAGCCGTCATCGCACTGTGACTTGAGTGTGAAAGTCCATCGTTCGACAATGGCAGCGTTACGACGACGCATACGTACCGTGTTTGCTTGCGAGCGTTGAGCATATCAAAAGTACTTTTTCATTTCTCGCGGTCAGGCAGGCTACATCTGCGGGACTGCAAAACGCATCACAGGTCCGCCGCTCTCAAACATCTCATCCACCAGAGAAAGAAGGGAATTCATGCCTTCAATAGCGTCTTTCCCGAATTGTTTCACTTGATCTGGGGATCGTTTATGGGTTATGATGTCTTCAAGTTTACCTTCGAACATCTGACGCATTCTTTCGAAATGCTCCAGCAACTCCTTCTGTTTCGAGTTGTCAACACCTCCTAGCCTCATTGCAGCCTTCATGATCTTTAGGCTTCGACCGTGAAATTTCTGTCTGACGAATGTCATGCTCGCAGCTGCGAGGAGACGTCTGGGGCCTCCGTAGACTTCACTGATGAGTTTGTAGTACAGATCCGGTTCTTCAGGCTTGGCACGTGCACAGTACTTCTTTAGCACGACGTCTGCTGCACTATCGCCATCGAAGAAGACTTCAAGAGATCGTTTAGGCACGCCCAATTCCTTCGACACGTCCGCAGGGTCCATTTTAACCTTAGCCCACCGAAGTATAAGGACCTCCAAGTACTCCTTCCCGAAATCTTGCACCTTCTTGTCCTTCGACCATAGTAGGTCAGCCAGGATCTCTGCCACATTGGCTTCGTCTTTAAACGAGAGAGGGGTCTTGAGCAATCCCATGTTGTGCGCGAGCCTCAACAGCTCCGTCACCTCCGGTCTCCTTAGTAGCGTCTGGTCTGCCACATGCTCGGGAAACATGGCCAAGAACCCGTCAAAAGGCTCGATGGAGACTCGCTCCAGCTGCTGGTGCTCGACCAAAGCCGAGCTTACAGCCGATTCGATCCTATTGACAACACCTTCGACTAGAGGCCCTTCGTCCACGTTGATGATTACAACGTTAGACCTCAAGGACCTGCTGAACGAGGTGTCATCGTGACCGTTGGCCAGTGCGGGAACCACAGTCGGGCCGCGGAGCCCCGTTGCCGTCGGTGCCGCATCCTCCAAGACGCTTTCAGTGCAGGGATGGAGAATGGACGTGGTCGCGAGCGCGAAAGTGATGACACGCATGGCTGGAAAGGACTGGGTGGTAGCGACGAAAATGCGAAGTGCCTCAGGACTGGGTGGGAGCGATGAAAATGCGAAGTGCCCCTGGACTGGAGACAAGAGCTCACTTACTTGAACAAGCAGCCTTGGTGTGGAAGAGCCGTGGCGACGGGCACGCAAATTTTGCATGATTGAAGTTTTTCCTCCCGCCCTTCCCATTTTAATCCACACACCTCTACGCGCGCGAGACACCTCCAGTCTGCCACTTGTTTGACCTTTCCTTGTGATTGGGGGCAGCGCGGCCTTCCCGTAGCAAGTTTCCGTGAATGCAGATGGTCATGTTTGCCGATATGCTGCTTTCTAAAAGGTATCGAGCCCATCGAGGACCACCGTGTGTACATACGTGCAGCTTTCAGTGGTGCCTAATGCGCGCTGCTCAGCCCCTGCAACAAGCCCGGCGATCGGAATCGTAGGCCACTTGGAACATCGTACGACCCCGCAACGAGTCCATGTCCATGTGCGCATTGCAAGCATTGGTGTGCACCAAGTTATTCCAGAATCAGATGCACTGGATACTTTACCGGGTCGCGACAGTCTTCAGCCGGACCAGAAGCAGTTGTACCCAAAGCTCGAATCTGTTTGGTGCCGATCAGCTTATTGCGACAAGTGGTCCTAGTCGGCTGATGCTGCATCAAGAATCCGCTCGATGTGGAGCCGGCACGCACGCAAAGGACTGGTGTGCCTAATGTGCCGTGAGTACAAGTACTGCGGGCTTACTTCACGCTTTTCAAAGAGATGTCAGTGATGCAAAATGGCGATCGTACCCACGATGAAAACAGGTGCCAGAGATGTAGGGGTTGTCACGATTAGCAGGTGCCGTATTGGCCGCGTCCCTCGCGGCGAAGGGCCGGGTCATGCTGCGTGATGGTCGTCTTTTAAATACAAAGATACTACGAATGGAATCGTCTCTTGTTGTGTAACGGCGCTGATGTCGTTCTACTGATTCGTTGTACGTCGTGCTACCTTCGGTAGTACCGCGATACCGTACAAAATCATTGAGATCTAGATACGCCTGACGCTATTGTTAGCAACTCGTTCATTTGTATTTTTTGTATTGACGCTTTGCATGTTGACTTACATGAGGTTTGAAGCGGAGCTACACAGCTCCTTAAGTCAGAGGAAGACTTAACGCTCTTACGAGCAACTTTGGTTCTACGAACCCGACTCAGAGAGTCAACAAGCTCAGAGAGCTTACGGTCCCCGTTCCTAAGGGACCAAACGATTCAAAAGAATCACAGCACAGAGTGCTCAGGAGTAGCTACCTTCACA